TCACACGATGTAATGTATATGAAAACTTCATTTTACGAGCTTGCGCTCGATATCAAATCCCACCTGAGCTATTCCACATGGTCGCACCCTAACAGGCGTTTCGCAAAGTCGTTAATAACATTTTTTTAGCGAGTCTCTTCTTTCAATGCCATTAGTGAAATAGTCGGAACTCCACCTATTTGTGTCAACAAGACGATTCCTGTTTCCCGTATTTCTTCACATCCATGAAACAAATTTATGCATTTAGACCAATGCTTCTACTTTCTGCAACCAAACTGAAATGTTAAAAGATATTTTCCCTTAATCATAAAATGTATTCAAAAAGACGTTATATTTAAAAATTGTAGAAAAGATTAACTTAACAATAAATTAAATCCATAAGTGATTTTTTGTCCGTACATTAATATATATGTATAAAGATTATTGTAAATAATAGCGACATGTATTTGTGCGTTTTAATCATATAATTTTTTATATCACAAAATTATTGAATATTATATTAAAATCAATTAGCAATTCTTTCATATCAGCACGTAAAATTAAAATATTTATTAAGTATCATCGTAATGCGATTATTAAATTATTTATAATACAATTTGCAGCAACAAAATATAGACGTGGAGTACTTTTTAATTCTTTTTTTCTTTTTGAACAAGAGAATTATACGAGAATTAATAATCGCCTACTTTTATTTCTTTTGCGAGAAATAATTAAATTCTGTTGGTCCCCACGTGTGCTGTTCATCTTCAGCGCTGTTACAAAAAAAAAACAGATGTTCCACTAGCGACTTACAGCGAAGTTGCAAAGGTTGACACACGATGCGCGTATATCGACGGATTTATATGCAAATTGTTCTCTTTCATCAAGCGCGGTAACAGATGTTCGTCGCTCATCGATCATGACGATTCTATTTTTGAACTGACGTTTCTTTTGGAACGCATCGAGTATGCGCGCCTAGATAAAAGATCTATCGATCGGTCGGTATAGCGCCTTCGTAATGTAGCGCAAAATAATTACTCTCTAATGAGACCCTCTAACATCGAGGCGAACTCAAACGAGAGAGTGCGGCATTTTTTCGAACTTAGTTCGCGGCTTGATTTAATTATCAAGTGTTGATTAATGAAGCGCGCAACTTCCGCCAAGTTTTACTCGCGGAAACGAGTATAAGAAGATCGATCGCTAAACGCGCTACATCTCGCCTTGACTCGCTATCGACCGATGGCTCATCAAACGAGTTATACTTGCGCTATAAGGCCGCGGACCGTTTATAGTAAAAGCGGAGCTAATGGCGCGACACAGTTACACAACGCTAAAGAATAATTGAACAAGCGAATACGAATGGAGTGAATAAAAGTTTCTTCGGTTCCTACGATTGCCAACATTGTGTGCACTAAATATTTCTCTTATTGTACACTTAGATGTAGAGCGTGCGTCTATAAACCAAATCGTACAAGTAAAGTGAGATATTTTATCGGAAGGAGAGATCCTAGCTCGCGTCAATCGCCCTTCGTGAGTTTGCTGCTCGCGCCGTTCCGCCTTCTAGACTCGAATACTTTGGAAACTTCCCAACGTTCGTAGCTGGAATTACATCATAGCCTTAATAGGATCGAATTACTTTGAGCACAGCGCCCTGAGCGAATAAACTCTCGCGACGACGTCTGAGCGACTCGGCAGGATACGTGAACGAGATACCGCTCGCGAGTAGTCGTGGCGTCGCGCTCGCACGACGTAGTGGTCGCACGATGATGACGATGGCCGCGGGCATTAACTTAGGCATGTTTGCCGAGCAATCAAATATATGAGTGGAAAGTCTCGTGCTATCGATCGAAAGTCTCCTCTTCCTCGTGATGGCGCGCGAAGGACGGCTGAATCGCAGAAAGAAATCGGAACGAAATGGGCAGAAGGGGGAATTCACGAAACTACTTGTCCGCCGACGAAGAGCCGGCGATTCGACGACCGGCCAAGTCCACTGTTTGTTGTCGAACACTATTCATATGGGAGAGGCAGACAGAAGGAGGGCAGTAAACATAGTTTTCGGGCCGACGGAAAAGAGTCGCCAGGGAAGTCGTATAGCTGTCTAAATCTATCTAAGTGTATTTATGTTGTTGCTTTTATGAGACATTTTAATATTTTAATATTTATCATATCATTATAATATCATTTACATGCATATGATGCTCATATATTTATACAAAAAATTGATGCGTGCCATAAAATAATGCTAGATCCGTAACATCTGCCTTTACAAAATATTAGTCTACAACATGTAGAATACAGATTTTCTTAAATAGTTACCGTATTTCGAGATATTGTTTCTTTATCTTCTCATCAACATAGCATATGCAAATTTTCTCTGAATGGACGGGAGGTTTGCTTTGAGATGCATCGATTTTTTTTTATAGTGTACATATGTATATATCGATTTTTATACATACGTATGTATTCGCATATATATACATGTGCGATGTCAGCTGGATATACGTGAAATTTCGCGAAATCCGAGTCCTTTATTTCCCGTGCGAGCTTGCGTCCCGTCGATGCGAAAAATGCTGAAGAAAAATCTCAAGTGCGCATCGTTTTCGAGAGATTCGTAAAGAGAGGAAGGTGGGGGAGAAACGCTTTAGAAGCTCGAGCGAATTCTTACATCTGCTGTATACGGCTTTCAGCATCTGTAGGATCCGACGAAAGAGTCCGTCCGTACGCTTGTCCGATATCGGTCCTTCAAAAATTTCGGCCATCATCCCATCGTAAATTCTTTCGCAAAGCACATGATTAACACTATCCGTTTGGATTTTACAGATCAATATAAAACATAAGGAAATAATTATCGACACCATAAAAAATCCATTGCCAAAATTTGATAAAATCAATTTGTTACATGAATCTGTAAACGATTGTGAAATATGAGTGCGTAATCGCGTACACAGGCATTAGCGGCGGATCTCGATCCCGGTTAAATATTCGAGTTTTCGAGATTCAAAGGGCTGATTAATGTAGCGGCATGAGGTTGACATGGCGACATTATCATCGGTACAATGGACGCCAGGTGTTTCAGACAGGAAGGGCCAGAGGGGCAAGGAGTATAATGCCGTCAAGCAACGCCACTTAATGAGCTGCCGGGAACAAAGCGGGAAGAACCGCTTTGTCATTTTTTGTCGTGCTCCAATTACTTAGCGTTTTAGAACAGTTGTACGTGATTATCTCCCCCGCCCATCCCTCCATCTAACGCACCTCACGCAATGTGTACAGTGTTTCCCTTTTGCTCTTCTGATAATTGATCCGGCTAATGCGAGTGATATACGCGCTACAAAAGTAGCATCTGTTTCCTTTTAATAAGCATAATATACGTTAGCGCGCCACTCTTATCTAATACTTCAGAAAGTTTTGAGGCTTGATATATCGATCGAAAGCCTAAAATTGTCCGCCTGTTCCGGTTTTCTGCGTCATGTCGTCCAAGCAAGCGAGAGACGGGAGTTCGAAACTGGATGTCGAAGACGAGGGCTGCTGAGATCAGAGGAAGGTCCAGGGCTTAGAAAAGGGACAGGCGGGTAACGTTATCGTGCCGTACTCCAGCAGGTGTGGGGGTGGGCGCCCTCTTTTCGCCCTAATTCCCTTCAATCCTGATCCGTCCCATCTCCCAGAAGCATATCGCAATCGAGTTTCGTTTATTTTTCAAGAGACGCCCGCTCGACAGAAATTGGCAAGTATATATATATACTCAATATATATATATATATACATATATATTGAGAGATATTCGATCCTCGCAAAGCTCAACCTCATTTTTCGAAGCGCTACCGCGTTACACAATTCTCGCGCAGTTAGGCCGCAGTGTGTTTTCAGTCGGCTCTGACTTTTTTAATGCGATTACATTAGATTCGATTACAGCTTCTATTCGATTGATACTTTACGAGGCGAAAAACTCGAGGCACTGACCAAACCAAATTTGCCGTTTATAAAACTCGACGATAAAAAAAGGAAAAAGGAACTGCAACCATATCGCCTGGTGCTTTGGCATAAAATATCGTTCGGATATCGCCCTACGACGATCTCAAGCTACAGGCGAGAAACTCCTCGAAGTTTCTGCACCGGCGGTGTAACATCGAGAAGTTTATTTTCGAACAAGTCTGTTTCAATAGATCGGATGCGACGACGATCCAGTGGATTATCCCGCTTATGTGACACTCACGCTGGCGCACGCGCGCGTGCGCAGGAGATGTCACAACGATTGTCGCGAGTATCGTTTTTCTCGCAACGATACAAATAGTTATTGCACGAAACCGCGACCGTCGTCGTCGTCGTCGTCGTTGTCGTCGTCGTCGTCCTCGTCATCGTCGTCGTCGTCCCGGATTACGAAGCGCTTGTCCGCGCGCGGTAAACATCTTTTATTAAAGTGCACGTTGCGCTCCGCTGGCGCGTCAATTTTTCAAAGAGCCCCCGAGCTCTTTGTCTTCGCCGCGTCTCCATCTAACTACCGGCGATGAGCGCACGTGGCAGGCCGTAGGAGAGAGCGATTAATCGTTCCATCATCGTCGCGGACGGCCTCGCTCTCTGCGACAATGGCGGAAACGGAACCCTCCTTTCGACGCTCCCGCGAAGATAAAACGGATAAAACTATTTTTACTTCCTTCCGGGTTTTCGAGTGCGCCGCGGAACTTTCACGGCGAAGAAAGAAAGAGAGTGGTCGCCACTCCTCGCGACGCTCCTTCCAGCGAATGAATAGCGAACGTCACGGACTCTATTAAACCCTTCATTTCGCGATAGCTTTTATTTCTGCGAGAAGCCGCATATTTCAGACTAAGCGCATTGCACAGTGCATTTCAATGTATAAGACGTATCTTTCGAATTAATCCGTGAATAATGTAAAAGTAGAAAATTTTTTGCAAAATAAAGGCGTTAGAGTAGAAAAATCGATCTCTTCAATGTTTTAAATATAACAATGTCAGTTGCAAAATTCGCTACTTTTCACTGAATTAACGATGCTTCTCTTTTTGTTTCAGGCTGTGCATTCGTGAAGCTCTCGTCGCACCAAGAAGCACTGGCGGCGATAAACTCTCTACACGGTAGCCAAACTATGCCGGTGAGTATCCATCGTGTAATATTACAACGAGCGTCGGCCGGTCTTCTCTCTTCGATCGCAGCTCATTATTTCTTTTTTCTTTTTTTCTATTTTTTTTTTTTTTAATCGTTTGATCCACCTCTTCAGCCGATGACCGCCAGTCATCGCGTTCACGGACGCCGGCGTGTATTTACGCTCGGAAAATGTCACGTACGCGATATTAACGGAAAGGAGGGTAAATATTCATAGAAGCGTCGCACCTGATAGGGGCGGGCGGGAGCAGCGGGGGCTGATATGAATATCGAGGATAGGGATGCAGCGCCATGGCCGGGCAGTAGATGGCCGTCTTCCGTTATAAAGGGGGGCAGGGTGGCCGGTGGCCGGTGGTCGGAGATCGGACTACGGGGTAGCCGTAGCAATGGCTGTCGTGCCTGCAAACACCCCAGTAATGACTGGCCAAACAGAAATCTGCATAACACTTGGAGAAGCGCGGCTCGCCTCCTTCTCCGCAACCCCGCCGGGAAAGCGTCTCCCTCGGTCTCCGTCAAACCGCCGAACTTTCTCGGCTTAGGGTCGGGCCAGGAATTCCCAGTTGTAATTGAATTGTCAGTGAGTTCCGTCCGGGATTCCACCTGCTGATTGGCGAAACTTTGCAAAGCCGCTTGCCGGACCCCCGATCGTCCTTGTCGGCGTTATTGCCTATCGACCGCCGCCCGCGCTGACATGCATTGACGCGCCTAAGGGACTTTGTGTCTCAGACAATTATTAGACCCTACAACGCGCAATTAAGATCCGAGGAGAAGATTGTATTATCGCTACTGCGTTGTTTGCGATTTTATAACTCAATTATTAATTCCCGCACCCGTCCCGGATTTGCCGTGTTGCGAGAGAAAAATTATCGTAGTATTAAAAAGCTAATATAGCATTTTATGAGCTCAAGATTAAATGAAGAGAGCTTGAAAAATTGCACGAAAAAGGGAGACCGACAGTGAAATATAAGTGTAATATATTATTAATGGTGTAAACACCTGATAATCGATATATTCAGCCGTGCAACGCTTATTTTTCCACCGGCGCTCGACATAAATGTGAAACACGATACTACGCCGTCTTATGACTTTTTACGTTATCAGAGCTGCCGCGGAAGAGTAACAGGATCCGCAATATTTCACGTCCTTGTATATTACGGAAGAGATTATCGAGAAGGGAGATTATGACCGCCATTTTTGGTATCTGACGAGGGACTCGCGGTTCATGTTGTACATTAAACGTGTATACGCGCACATCTGTCACGCGCTGGGGTGAAACCGTGGGCGTGGAAGCGAGGACTGGTTTCGTGAATATTACTCGTTACAACGCCCTAATCTAATAGCCGAATACAGAAGATGGAGTGTAGGGGCCGACTTCAGGATCGCGACTATTTGCCCACGAAAGAGGCGCTGACAGCGTACGCGCGCGCGCGCGCGGCCGTAATATGCAGATTGCTTAATTATCGCGACGAATTATGCAAATCTCGACGCTCGATGTTACGAGATTTCACGGCAGAGACGTGGTCGAAGGGATGGGAAGCAAGGGGGCGCGAGAGCAACGGCGAGCGTCGAGATTAACGCTTTCGCCGAAACGCCGACCTTCGACCCTGAACTATTCGACCCAGAAGAGATACGAAAGGCACGTGGTTGCGTGCTGCGCGGACGGCTTAATTATTGCGGCGAATTATGTAGATCTCGGCGTTATGAAATTTCGCGCGACGCGGCGGAAGGGAGGGGCGTTCACGTCGTGCAATTTAACGCCGGCGAATCATGTGAGTAATTTAGCTCGGAGATAAAAATAACCATATTTGTTCTGCGTTGGTGTCGCGAAAAAGAATGCGATTTAATCCTCACTACCGGCTTAACATTCCTCCGACAACGCTTAAAAATTGGATACATTTATCTGAACATCGTGGGAATAACAAGCGCGGATCGAGAGAAAAAAGTTCTCCCGTTCTCTTTTTAGCCAATCAATAAATCTTTCGCAGAAAACAATCGCTTTCGCGAAGGACGCGGTGTTATGGAGCCCCAAGAGTAATTCGGTTTGACTATGTTCGTTCCAGTTTCCTCTGAGCTGGCACAAAATCAACCCCTTCCAATTTTCCCCTCCCATCTACTCACTCACATACTCGGAGAAGCGCCGATCTATATAGGCACATATGTACGCGCATAAAAATGTCGGATGTATGTACGATCGCACACGTATGTCATCTCGCGTGTGTGCCCGCTGCTTTCAGCCACTCGAACACGTCGACACTCTCGGTCACGAAACTGCATTACGAACGCAACATCTCGGCTCATACCTACGAAATGAGATATTGATTTGCAATCTGATACTGTAATACGCGACGACGCGCTGTCGGCCTGCAGACGACGTACTGGCTCGTAGCGGAAGCGTGAAATCGTAACACCTTATGAAATCCACATTGATGTAGATACACAACACATTGACCATTTTTTTTCCCTTCCCAAATTGACAAATGCGTTAAAACCAATTTTTTCTAATTATTTTTTCGGCGGAATTACTAACTTAATATTAGACAACTTTAAATAAGTCGCTTTTATGTCATTCAGAGAAACTCAGCATCACGCTTTTATGTCATTTAGAGAAATTTTATCAACATTATGATTTTATGTCATTTAGAGAAATTCTGATTTCCCTTCATTCGAAAATCATATATTTCATACATATGTCAGGAGAACATTATTATATTAGCAAACATGACAAACATAATTTGTTTTTTAATCTGTGTTGAATAAACAAGATTATTTCATCATCGCTATATTATCGTAATGTAAATATGCAATTTCAACGCATATGATAGATTATACATGTTTCCGTTGAAAACGCGATATTTTTAATAGGGATACGCTGTATATATCTACGAGATTAATATTACAGCACTTTCGCTGACAATGCAAAAACATTACCATAAAACTTCTCTAGTATAAGCATTTTATTTCGTTTTCACGGGCGGGGTAATGCGATTTATGCTTCTCGGATCGACGCATTTACGCGTCACGCGGCAGGCAATATTTCTTCGGGCTCTCAATATTTCAGCCGATTTTACAATCCGTCGTTCGCGGATATTATACGCGGAAAGTTTTTAATTTCTAACAATACCGTGACGCTTATATACCGACCACGGGGTAGCGCAAACATTTTTTCCCGATTTCACGGTCCGTATAATGCGGTTTACACTTCTCGCGGAGCGACGACGCGTCCGCGCCTTTCCTGGCGAGCAATATTTCTCCGACAGCTCAATGTATTCCCGGATTCCACCATTCTTCCCTCGTGGCTTTGAACCCAAAAACGTTTTTTTTTTTTTCCTTTATTTTTTTCAAACAAATGTTTCAGCGAAAAAATAACTTTACCGCTAAAGAACATGTAAACCTATTGTCAGGTGCAAGTTCTCCTGGAGTAATGCTTTATGAAATATTAAGTGAGAGAAAATTTCCACATGATGACATTACAAATCGCAACTCTGTCATGCGAAATGTTGAAATAACGCGACTTTACTCTCTCTCAAATAGAGAGAATTGAATTTTTTTCTTTTTTACTCGCGACGATAATCTACCACGCTCCGGACACACGTGTCACGCAATCCCGCGCAAGAGTATTACACTTCGAGTCGCGAACTTTTTGTGCACCTTTTTTTTTTGTTTGATCGCATCGATCCATAGGGTGTTTACACGTCTCGAATCAAGAGGCGCGTTCGTGCATCACGCAACGGGCAATATTTCTCCAGGGGCTCAATATTTCCGCGCGCCTCTCGCGGGGTGGCCGTCGCTCTTCCTCTCTCTTTCTTTCCGTCTCTTTCTCTCTTTGATGTCAACGGTGGCGGTATGCGGCCGTGAGTCGGGCCTCACGTAGTTATGCCCTCCGAAGCGTGTGACATTTCTTGTCACGCCTCGCAAACCCTCCAACGCCGCGCTCTTCGCGCACCGAAAAAAATCTCCCCCTCGCGTACATACATATATCTTCCCTGGAAATGTCTCGTAATAAAAGCAAAAACCGCGTGAAGTGTTTCGTCGCGTTGCGTCAGAACGAGTCGCGGAACGACGTCCCGTTGGTCCTATTTGCGTAACTTTGGCATACCGCTGATTGTTGCCATTTTCTCTCACGAAGCGAGAAACACGCGACACAGTCTCATTTTTTTTTTTATAAAAGTTTAAAACAATTCAGAATGTACAGAGCCAACTAAAATCTTGGATGACAAAAGTAATTATTTATAGTTATACAAATTTATTAATTAATATGAGTAATGTTATAAAATAGACGGTAATATTTAGAGTGTTACGTGAATGCAGAGCCGATTAAATATTATTAGAGATAATTAATATATTTTTAAAACAGCTGTTTTTCTTTTCGGGGAAAAGTACATAATCTTTTAGAAAAGCGAAATTTATTGAAATGCGACGTTAAATTGAATTCGAAATGGAGATTTATTATACAGAGTTTCCGCAGAAATGATAAGATACACGCGACGGTCAATCGAAGTTATTCGAAACTTGAGCGAGTACAGCCAGCCGGATGCCTACGAGCGATTCGCATGATGTGCATCGTTCTCGATCGGAACGAGGAAAGTTTAACGATGGAATTCGATACTTGTCAAGAGAGGCTCCGAATGGACATTGACGCGCGCGATTAGACACGCAAACTTTAAAACTTCGTTAAGCCGAGAAGCCCGCGGATTCTGGACGCAACGCGGACGAGTAAAACAAGGGGCGGGGAGGTGAAACGGGGGGTCTCTCCATCTCCGGCCGGATGTTGCCTTTCTCGGGCAGCGTTCGCGCGCGCGCGCGCACGGAAAGTGGATGGAAGGAAATTGTCTCTGCATTAACGGAGGCTCGGAAACTGCTCCCAACATTTAATTAAAGACATTCCCTGAGTAATTCCCTCGGCGGCCTCGTAATTGCATTGCTTTTATCTCCAGTACAACTGTTACTTGTTTGGCGGGTCTTTCGTGTGTATCGGGAGTCAGAAGGACT